TTCCTATTTCACAGGCGTGCAAACCCATTTGGGGAATCTGAAGACAGCAGCAAAGATGAGGAGGAAGGTCAGTGCTTCTTTCATCCAGATAAGATTAGTCATGATTTTAGCTACCCAGTGTCTCTTAAGAAAAACACCTGACACTGTGCAGCAGAGGTAACAGATCCATAGTAAAGTGACCTGCCTGAGCTAGCACATGCAGGGCTTGGCCCTGGCTGTTCTCCTCTTCCCCTGTGCTTGGAACCCATTGCCTTGTCAGAAAACTGCTTTCAGAAACAAAGTACCTACTGCTCTGAACATTCACCCTGCTTTCCCTTGCTCACCACCAGCCATAAAGGGAGCCTGCTGAAGTGCTGGCTTTTCTGCATAACGGCTGCTTAGTTGTCATTAAATCTTACGGTGACAGTCAAGGAGCAAGGAAGGATTTGGTGAAAACCTCACTGGGCCCAGCCACATGGAAGGTCAGAAGGTCATGAAAGAAAGAGAAGAATGTACAAGGCTTAATGGAAGCCAAGGCTTCTGCACAATCCTAAATTCATCCCAGTTTATGTGCACCTGATAGGAAAATAGGCAAGGGAATTTTACTGGCTAATCAAATGATGCATAAAGGACCTGTCACACTTTCAAAGCTTCCAGGCAACTGCAGTAACTTCCTTCCCCACTTCCACACTGCTGCCTGTTCACACAGTTTGAAACTGGGTCAGGGCACTGTGTGACTCATGGCAGAAAGCCACCACTCATGACCGTCACCAACCACAGGCTTACTGTTGAATTTCCAAAGTGAATAAAATAATTCCATTGATACTTTGAGCTACTGGAAAATTGAAGCAGCACAGTGAAGGAAGTCATGGCTTTTCTCTTGCAGATTCCCTGCTGCAGCAGATGTTCGTGGTTCGGTTTTTAGGGTCCATGGCTGTTCAGTCTGATGAGACATGCGAGGTGATTTATGAAGCCATGAGACAAGTGTTGGCTGCTCGGGCCATTCACAACATCTTCCGCATGACTGAATCCCACCTCATGGTCACCAGCAAGAACCTGAGGTACTGTAAAACCCTTAACTGGTCAATATTCTCTTCACACGATTTGTGATTAATTATGTATTGTTGGTTTTGTTTTTCTAAGACACACACCCTTTAAGGAAGCAAGATTCCAAGAGTCACTTTACCTAGAAAGAAATGTCTCTTTTCTTATTCTGTGATGCCTAGAAGTAATCCTCCAGACTAAGTTGTAAGAATGTCCTATCAAAATCTAAGGGCTGCAGTGGGACTATAAGACCCTGCTAAGATAATAACAAAGATGCAAAACAATGGATTGGAAGATTCTGTTTTCTATGTCCTTTGACAGTAGTGTTACTGTAGAATATGCTGATATCAGACATTCCCTTTAGCAGGGGTGTGTTTATGTCTCTCTGCATTTTGTGTTAGCCCAGGCACTCAGGATCCTTTCCAAGTGACTCTGAAGGGTGCTGTGACCTGTATCCGTCAGGGAGCTGAGAGTCAAGGCCTAGATCTGAACCTTGCCAATCACAGCTAAAGCACCTGATTCTGTGCATATATTTCCTCATCTGTAAAACTGCTGGAGTTACTGCCTTTCTATTATAAAGCCCCTTGAAATTACCAGGAATAACTCTTAAAATAATTTTTTTTTCCCTACACATGATTGCAGGTTAATAGATCCTCAAACTCAAGTTACACGAGCAAGTGTAAGTAACATTTTTTATCACAGTAGTGACTACTCAGTAACATGAACCTGAGCTAATCTGCTAACGTGAGCTGGTTAAAACAAATAAATTATTGGTTTTACTTTTCCAGTTTGAACTCACCACTGTGACACAGTTTGCTGCTCATCAGGAGAACAGGAGACTGATTGGCTTTGTGATCCACCTCAGTGAGACTCTGGGAGAAGAATCCATGAGTGCTTATGTTTTTGAGAGCAACACAGAAGGGGAAAAGGTTTGTGTGACATTCAATAAAGTTCTTTATTTAGAAAACATGTCTGTGGCTTCTTGGCTTATACATCTGGAAATAGTGCTATAGAAACAAGAGCAGCTCAATTTCTGGCCAAGAAAACCTGCATTAATATGCAAGCCTTTACTGGCTTATGTCTAAAAAGGACCAAATGCAGCAGCATGTATAAGGAGGAAAGGATGGGATTGCTAATGCCAGCATTAAGAGAGGTGGGTGAGAGTGCTGCTTCTGGACAGCAAACAAAAGGAATATCAGCTATGTTGAGACAGGTACAGCTGTGAAGCTTTCACAGGCAAGGCAGCCATGTGTGCTGACACCACTGGCTGTTTGCTGCCTGCTGTAACAGAAATAAGGAGTGAGATGGAGAACTTCTGTCCCTACAAACACTTAGAAACATCCCCCAAGTGTGGGAACAAAGTCTGGTGACTAAAACTAACTGAGCTGAGTACCAAGATTTACCAGCCTCTGGGAGCTTTGAAGCTGAACCTGGGATAGTTTTCTTTATTGGCAGTTAGCACAGCACACTGGTATTCAACCTTCCCTTTTAGGCCTGGTTATAAGACTAAGTCTGCACTGGCAGTTATGTGGTTTACTCTTAATTAAGGAACAAAACACCAAACCAGAACTGAATGGAACTTACATGTATTTCTTCTTTGTAGATTTGCTATGCCATTAGCTTGGGAAAAGAAATTATTGAGGCACAGAAGGTAAGTTCGTTTCATTCCCACATCTGTATGATACATCATGTTCTGCTTTTCAGCTGCACTGTCCAGGTACCTCTGGTGTGCGTAAGAAAAAACAACTGCTGCTGCTCCTAAGGACAAAGTTTTGCAGACAGTTTATTTTTGCTATGCTAAATAATGAGTTTGAGTTTTCAGTAATATGATTTGAGATAAAATGTGCCACCCCAATCCAAAGTCAGAATCACATAAATCCAAATGTTCATATCTGAAAGAAAGCTGTGAGCAAAGTTTTCAAAAAACCAAACTAACTCCTTGGGATAATGTGTAAATCCCACGCACTGCTGTTTCACTTTTAGAAATTTATATTATTTTCTTGCCTAGGGATGAAAATCATGGTGTTTTTCCACTTAAAATGAATGGCAGAGTTCCCTGGCTGTTGTAGATACATTTTATCTATATAGATGTAACATTATTATTTGCCGTGTATTCAGAACAAGTTGGGGAACAACCACTCAGCATGTGTATAATAAATTCTTGAGACAGTAACTTTTCTCCTTGCTTTTCAGTAACTAAAGTACAGCAAAAAAGAAAAGGCTCAAAATTAAAAACTTTTTTTATTCTTAAATAGCCAAGATTGTCAACTTAATCAAAATCTATTATTTAGCTTTCAAATCTTTATTCTAATGTTTGTTAAAAAAACCCCAAAGTTGCAAAAGCTTAGCAAGAAGTACTGGGACATGTGTGTTCCTCAAAGGCTGCTGCAACTTGCTACCTTCTCTTATTTTTCTTCAGGATCCAGAAGCATTAGCTCAGCTAATGAAGTCTGTGCCATTGACAAATGATGGGAAGTTCATGCTTCTGAATGACGTGTCAGAAGAAGATGGAACCATACATGAAGGAGGGGAGGAATCAGAAGCATAAGCAGCTCCTGTCACTTCCTGCAGCCTGTGTGGGAGCAGCAAAGCAGTTTGCAAGGATCTCTGGTTTTCAGTCACCGGCGCACACCTGAGGCCAGCTGCCCTTTCCTGCTGGAGAGCAGTGGTGTCTGTGCAGGGAGTCCCTCTGGATTTACAGTGGAAGCACAGCAGGACTGTGCCCTCGAGGCGTTTTGCATTTGTGAATGTGTAGGGTGGAGCTGTGTCTGGGGAGCTGACAATCCTGAGCAAGGCCCGAGCTGCTGGTGGGCAGGAGGGCACAGCTGTCAGCCACTGAGGGTTAATGGCATTTCTTATATTTACAGGGCCAGCAGCCTCTCATTCCACTGCAACTCGTGTGAGCTGCCAGCTCCTCTGACAAATATCAGGCCTCAAATTTCCTACCGTAGTCAATTTTCATAGTTTGCATGATTATGTGCATCTGAATGAAGGTTAAAAATGCACTATTTACTTTATTTCAGATGAAGTTATTTTTAGTCTAGTTTATGTGTAACAAGATTTACCTTTTGTGTTAGCCTATTTACAAAACAATTTGTTAAACACTAAATTTTTCCTATTAATATAATCTATTTTTATATTGCATCTAGAATAAGCTTACAAAACAAATCTAAGTGCCTACTCTTACCTTCCAGGGGACCGCGCTCTCACATTCTGTAATTAAATAATGGACAAAATGTACCTCCTTCATTTATTACTCTAAATACCACTGACATGCAAACCTCAGAAGTAGGCAACAAATGTGGCATGTTAGCTGTGTGCAGTTTTTCCATGGTTAGGTTTCTTGCCAGAGATGGTAATAGTAGGACAAATAAGTACTTTTATATTAAGAATTCTTTGTATTTTTAACATTGTCATGACATGCAACAGCTGAGTCTACCAGCAACCTTTGGTTTTAAGAAACTGAGCAATAAAATGTTAGATTACAAGTCTACAATGTATTGACAAGTCTCATAGTACCCTCCTGAAATTAGACACTAGAGAGATTTGGCTAATAAGTTTACTTTTCTTCTTCCATCCTGAAAACATCAGCAACATTACTTTGCAAGAACAAACAGAATAGACAAAATCAAGAGCTGTTACTGGGGGGAGGGGTGTAATCTGTAGTATAATTTATATTAATTAAGATAAGGTACTTAGAAAAAAATGGCTGAAATTCCTCAAACTTAATTTAACTTTTCTCAGTCACCAAGAAACTAGATTTTCCATAAGCAGAATCTGTGCAAGAGTATCTGAAAGATCCCAGATTGGAATTGTTTGATGTGGAATAAATCTAAATTTAACTGGTTATTGAATGTTTAAAAGTACTGTGGAAGAAAATGTTAGTAACTGATACAAAAACTTGTAAATAAAAGCTGAAGCTGTCTTATTAAAAAAATTAACACCCACTGAACTGGTGGTACTGAAAACACTGGGAATGAGGTTCTCAAAATTGCATTTATTAACACAGTTTTATGTACATAATGTTCTCTACTCACAAACCAAAGAGACTGGAGTAATAAAATACCCTTTTGTACAATGAGTTAGGAAACATTAAGTATTACATTTGGTCCTTTGTACCTGAGAAGCTGAAAACAGCTGTTGATGGACGTCTGATGCAACTCAAATTTCCTTCTGGTTCCAGGCTGCATTAGGACCTGTAGAATGTGCCCTTCAGCACCAGGAGTTTGCAGCAGTTAGGTGCTGCTGGGGCCATGCAAACCCTTGGTGCAGGGCTGACACAGAGCTGGGTGTCCACAACCCCTGGGAGAGCAGCTGCTGCCACTTCCAGCAGCCTTGGCACAAGGCTGAACACCTGAGGGCAGTGGTGGCAGCTGCCTGCTGGGGGTGAGAGCCTGGCCTTCAGCCTGTCCCAATCCTGTCCTGAAGGAAAAAGCCCCTAGATATGTTTTATATCCCTGCAGCAAATTCATCATCATCACTTCTATCACCCTGGGAATTTCTGAGTGAGCACGTTTGGTTTAGTTTAGGGGACTTCTTGTTTTAGCTCCATTGTCTCATCTCCAGACAACCAGTTAGGGTCCATTTGGTTCCTGTAATTGCAACAGGAGGCCAAAAGCAACAGAAAGAGTAGTAGCACCACAGCATGAATTTTGCCCCCCTTCCATATCCTTGTGGGGAGAAAAAAGGATTTAATGCAACTCAGTGTCACATGTGACATCCAAACCCAGGACCCATCTTGGATTTCAGATGAGAAAAATCTTTGCATGTCTGTGCTGCTACATGACAAAAAGAAAGAAGGAAATACAAACTACGGTCCTGTATTAGCAAGAATAGCTCTATTATCACTGTACACATTTGTGTATGTATATATTTTTGCCACATGGAGTATACATTCAGTTCTCCCAGATTAAACAGGCATCTATAAAAATAGGCTATGTCTTTCCTCTAGAATTTCCATCACCAGAACCACATGAATTCATTAACCACCGTACATGAAGACAGTGCTCAGTTCACGTTATGTTCAACTGCAAAGTCTTACCTTAGCAAGATAATATCTTTCCAAAAGAAAAAAAATGGAGAAGGGAAAATACAGGTGCAGACTAGAGTGTGGGCTGTGTCTTGCCTGTACACAGCTCCCTAGCAAGGCCATCCTGGGGAAAGGAACACCATCTATGGGTGATTCTACCATTGCTGTGGAAGAAGGAAATGCAGCACTTGGCCATTCCACTCCACGAACTTACGTGACTTCAGCAGAGAAGGAAATGTGGAAGGATGTGCACAGCAACTGCAGTGGAATGGGAAGCAGCAGCAAGAATGCTGATCTCGGCAGTGCTACTGAGCATTCAGTGCGGGCACAGTTTGGTCAAAAAAAGTGTACACAAATTAAAAAAAAAACCCCTGTATCAAAGTAAAAAAGCAAAAATACAAATCAAATGCAGCATTCTTTAGGGCAGTTATAATGAATTAAAAATAAAAACTTTAATGAGCCCAGCTGATTTTAACAGTCCATGAAGCTTGTGTGTCACGTTCTCAGAACCAACAAATGGAACGTTCGTATCAGTCTGGTCTTTCCAGTTGCGACAAAACATTCATCCTTGCTGTCTGAATGTTGAAGTGACTGGTAGGAAAGGGCGAATCAGAAGTATGTCAGGAATTGTTTTAACCAGTGACCCAAGAGTGGGTGGAACAATTTGAACCATTAAAACAAGTATTAAAGCAAGTTTGGTCTAAAAATACAGTTTAAGAGTGCCAAAAAACCCCCCCAAGGGTAGTTCTCTCAGCTGGACTGACTGGAGTAGTTTATTCTGGTAAGAACTAGAAGGGTGTTATGTTCCGGGAGATTAAAACACACCTGTATATTTTAATAAAAGTGGTGTTTTCTTTTAAGCTAAGTCTAGCTACTTAAGTTAGGAATCCGAGTAACTCTTGCACAACCTAGAACCTCTACTTGCAGGCATAGACAGATGTTATATAGAGTTCTCACAGTGTTTAGCAGCTTCTGAGCCTGCAGTGCAATTATTGTTAATAATCAGGCATGTAAGACTGTATGAACAACACATGGTACAACAGACCTACAAAGGCTAGGAAATACAGAATTGAGGCTGAAACTTGCAATTAGGCACAACATATTCATGAACTGTAAGATCACTTAATAGTTACAGACACCCATCACAGTGTCTGGTCATAAAAGGAAGAGCTGATTGTGGTTCTGTCTTGGCTCTGGATTTCCTTACTTCTGGGGATGCAAATCAGACCTTCAGTATGAAACGAGAAGTATGTTTGTTATGTTCACTTTTCTTGTTTTCCTATTCTTTGATAAGGGGGCACAAATAGGGGAAAATAAATGTTTGACAGGATTCTAAGTTCCCACAGTACATATACTGTCTATAGTAATAACAAGGGGGTTTGGAATAAAACAGTAATAAGCACTTACATTTACAACATACACTGTTACACCCACAGTGTAATCTGTGACTGCATTAAATGCAACAAGACTGAACAATGACATGTCTCAATTAGTTTTTGGACAATAGATACACCCAATATCTGGATTCAGTCTTTTTTTTCTCGTTGAAGAGATGCCAGTTCAAATCTTGGACGAACAGCCTATGAGTTTGGGTTTTTTTTAAATGCTATGATAGAGATGCGAGAATGCATCTAGAAATTAATAAGGATTTTTTTATCTGCACATCTGTACTTTAACTACCTCCAAGATCAACATTTTATTAAATTATTTTCAATCTAAAGAAAGTGCTGTAAGTAATGCAAACTCCTGAAAAATAGGAGTTTCTACAGGAAATACAGACAAACACAAATCTAGCCTCAGTGGATGCTAGTATACTACTGTACATTTCCTCTGGGATTTAACAGAGCAAGTAAACCAAATCTAGAGCTTTAACCCCTACAGAGTGTTACTGATGAAGACAAGGACATGAGTTATTTGAGTAAGTAATCATCACCCATACCAGCCATGTCATTTCACAACAGGCTCTGCAGGCGTAGAGTTGGAAAGATCTCCATTGCTTGTTTTACCAGATTCTTCTGAAAAATAAAAAGTAAAGGCATGGACCATGTTTAACACTCTATTTGAAACAAAACCCCTCAAATCCTAGCATATATACATATATATATATATATATATATATATATATATGATGCTGATACCACAGCAACACCTCATGCAGTATTTCATGATCAGCATATGCAACCTGACCCTGCAGCACAAGAAGTCCTGGCCCTATGAAGAAATGCCTGTGTGGGGTGAAAGGTTCTTCAGTCAGCAGTGCTTGCCTAAAAAATACACATACAATGCTCGTGCATTTTTCAGAGTCCAAGTCTAAATATCATGGTAGAGGGCATAGATATTGTTAATCATGTTCAAAACTTTCCACCCTGGTATGCATTTCCAGCTTTTCTCACTGCACAACACATTGCCTGGGGAACTGAACAGGTACCACAATAGCGAATATTGAACCTGAAATATAATTAGCTGATGTTCTCCAGAATGGTCTCCTACAGACTCCAGAGCAGAATGTCTACCCACAATGCTTGGAGTTCTTTGGATTTGTTTCTTTTTTATTTCTTGCACTGAATATTTATCTGAGCAACTTCACTGAATACGATCAAATATAAATTTATACTAAAAGAGTTTTTCTTTACAAACTTTTTTCCTAATGCAAAAGAAAACAAATCTTTTTCTCCAGTGACTATAATCTCACAGGAGATAACTACAGTGGAAAATTATTTACCAATTCAGTTTTTAATATACTGTTCCCTGAGTTTCTAAGTAACTTGTGACTGAACTGCATTCCTGTATCTTGATCCTTAGAAGAACTCTAATTTCTTTGGAAAGAATTTTTCCAAGAGAATCTTTCAGAATTCATGAGGGAGAATATACAACCAGGAATAGAAATGCAAAACACTAACAGTATCTAGTCAAGAGACCACACAACAAATTTAGATCTTAACTTCTGAATATAGAATTCAATGGAAGACCAAGCATATCATAAACATCTGAATATCTATAGTAACTGCATCATCTGCTCTGTAAGTGGAAAACCAGGTGGTACAACAGGTGAAAATCCCTTTATTTAACATCACCTAAGGTTGCCATTATCCACACTGGTAATTGAAGAGGTAAGTATGATGCTGAAGCTACTGAATTTAATAATACTGCAAGTATGCAATTCTCTCTGTCCCAAGCTTTTTTTTTTGTCACTTGGGTCTTCTGTGCTGTTGCTTTTTTTTCCACACCCCAGAAGCCCAGCTTTTGAAATTCACCTATTCCAAAAAAGGACTTCTTGAGCTGTTCTTGCTGAGTCTCAATCACCAATGACCATATAAACCTCTCTCTGGAATACTCAATCAACCTAGGAGCAAGAAAGCAGCTAGAAAAAAAACCTCTACTAAGGTACACAATCTCATTAGCCAAAACGTTCTACATATAGGATTCACTCACCTTCTTTTTCTTTCTTTTCTTGGCTTTCTTCTGCTGCAGTTTTATCTGCTCTGAAAAAAATTCTTGCACTACTTAGTGAGAAATAAAGGAGTTCAAATTCCTAAGGGAAAAGATAAAGAAGAGGAGCATCAGTGTATCACAAAGTTGTAGACAAATATCAATGGGATTTTTCACAAGCATCTTAGGCCCCTAGATTTCAGTATCCAAATCACTTAAATGCTCTTGAAAATCTTCCTCCTTTCATACCTTAATTCACATGCATTTTACAAAGCAAATGTCAAATTACATTAAAGGGCAACTTAAGCAAAGCAGTAGCACTGCAATAAATCTGTCACTGATCTACTGAGGCTGAAAATGAGGTTTGTAGCAGCAGGGAGAACTTAGAGCAACTCGCCCATGGAAAATCATACAAGCCAATAATTTAAACAACCACAAGCTTGATCAGTATCTGAATGAGATTCAGTGATGTGGTTTTTTAACACAGAGGACCAAACACAGTGCACACTCCTGGAAACCATGAGGGCATAGAGGGTCATATCTATTCCAACAAGACTTTACAGAATGTAATCATGGGCTGTAAAAAGAGTCATTGACAGATTTGTTGCATAGGCTTCTCTAATCAAAAGAGAGAAAGCACCACACCACAGATGAAGCCTGAGCTGCTGTGCTTCAAAATTCAAATGCACCTTTCCTCTCTTTGACATCTAATGCATCATTCAGTTTAGCAGCTCAGAATTAACACACAGGCAACTCTGAGGGTTCACAGTATTATGTGCAATCTTTGTTATAAGAAGTTTAACCAAAAAATATTCTCTTCTAAGCATTTATGATTTAGTTGCATTAGATTTCAAACTCCATGGGACAAAGAATTCCAATGAACCAGGTCTTCAAATATCACAAAAACCGATGACATTCCTTTCAGGTCATACACCTCAAGTCTTTATGCTCTTTTTGCTGTAGACAATGCTCTGGATTTTGCTCTCAATGAGCTCCATCAAAATAGAGCTACATGACTTGTGATGAGTAAGTGCTGAACCCAATACAGAACAGAAATTGTTACCAGAACAATTTATGCAATTTACCAGAACAATCTATGTAACCAGGCTCATGTGTACCTGTAAACAAACTTCCAGTCGCTTGTGGGTAAGGTTCATAGTCTGCAGCAGTTTTTCATCTTGATTAGTGGACTGCACGTTCTGTTGCTTAGCTACTGCTCTTATTTCCTTCACATACTTCTCTCTAACAGACTGGAACCAGTGCAGAGAATCAAACTCCTGGTACTGATCCAAAAGCTTCAGAATGTAAGCCACACCTAGTCATTAACAAACCATGTACTAATGTCAACATGCAATTTGCAAAACATTTTGTGAATGTCTTTAATGGATGAGCCTAATGATAATTCCATGCAAATATAACTTAAATTTTTATTAATTTACAATTAATCTATCAGGAAAAGTCAAAATATAGAATACACTTAAATTTTTTAAAAACATTACTTCTCCAAATATTTGCATTCCTTCTCATCTGGATGAGAACCACAAGCTTGGAAAGAAATTTGGAAGCACCAATGTATGTTAAAATTGTCTGCTTCCATACGCAGCTTTCCATGTTTAGGAAATTCTGAACACAACCATAACCCTCAAATCCATTTTGCTGAAGCAAAGACAAATCAAAATAAATTATGGAATTTTTAATTACGGGAACAGATAAAGTATAAACAAAACTTTTTTTGCAAATGTCCATTATGTTGGCTTACCCAAAGGCCAGTGAGGGTGCTGAAACTTACCCATGGCAAACCCATCATCTGTGAAAGCTGCTCCACTTTTGTTCTTCTTATTCAATTTCTCCTTGCAACTGATTGAATGCTCTACAAAATTGAGGGTCTGAAAGAATGAAAGGCTGTCTTAGAATCACAGAGAGATTCACAAATGTCACATGGCATTGCTAATACAGTCTAATACAAAACATTTGATCACAACCCTGATCTGACAAGACCTTTCTGAAGTGAGGCCCGGCGCAGTGCGAGCGCTCACCAGGGGGGGAACAATGATGTAGAAATTGCGCAAATGCATGTTCTTTGGGCTGCGGAATTCGGGAGCAAACACATCCACCAGCATCTTGAAGTATTCTGTTCCTTCTGCAAAGTTCCGGGTCAGGTCACTGAGCACAGAGTCCAGCTGCCTGCAAGGCATGAGCAACGAATTACCTGGTTCTGCTGAAAATCCCTCTGCTTATCCATCTCTTGGGATAACAACCCTCTCTTTGCCTTTTGCCTACGTCCACAACCCAGGATTTGGGACAGTACCCTTCCTCTACAGCCCATTAGAATAGTGTTTCTTGATTTGTCTCATAAAAAGGTATATGAATAGAATACTTGCATCTTTTTTATCTAAGACCCTGAAAATTTTAACAGTAGAGCTCAGTGAGGAAAGCTTGTTAGCTTTTAAACAAGGATTTCTTCACAAAATCAGGTTCTAGGTCTATTACTATCAATGCTACTTAACATTTTTAAAACAACTGCATCAATTTGCTTTGAAACAAATATTTTTGCATAAAGGTAGTAGAACTTTTAATACACACAGAGACACGAATAACTAATAGCTGCATTTATAAACATAAAATGAAAATTCTCACATTCCATCCCTACCCCAGACCTCAAAAGTATGATGCTAGTGTACCTTGCTGCTTTTTGTGTTTCTTCTGAGAGTCCTTCTTCTTTCACCAGCTCTTCAAAGTTAACAATATCTTCCAAATCAGGAACGAACCTGAAAACTTACTGTTTGTTAGAATTATGCTCAACTGTGTTCATTGAAGTATCTACCCTAATTTATAATTTACTTAATTTAATCTTTTGGGCTTGAACTACTTAGTTCAAATTATGTCATATCTGTCATACATTCTCATCCAAGCATTGTTAACTTCATTTCTAAACACTAAAAGGTTCTGTTTTTTACTGGACTATCATCTCCTCTCTCTAACGCTTGATACTCTTGGTAACTCTAAGTTTACCATTACTTGCAAGAAAAGTAACCATTTCTTCTTATGTAAGAGTTTCTAAGTTTTAATGTTCTTTGATAAACATCGACAAAATCTATACAGAAGAAAGTATGAAAGGAATGTGTTTTTGAAGTTCCTCAAGGTTTGTATTATTTTTCCTTAATGCATCCTTGAAATTATTTAACATCTCAAATTATGCTGGCTTATGGACTAACATCTTACTAATGTGCACATTCTATTAACTTTTTTGCCATGTTTTTCCATAGAATTTGTTTTATTTTTAGAGATTTATGTCCATGATTGTACAGTGCTGAATCCTAGCACTGTCTTCAATAATTCCACTTAAATGAAAGTATATAAATGAAGCTTTTCAAAATTTCTGGGGAATAGGTAAAGGCTTAGGGAATATCAGCAAGAATAGAGAGCAAGGGGAAGAGAAGGAGCAAAGAGAAAAATGAAATATTTGTGGAAATACCTAATGGCACTACTGCAGCAGTGAAGTCCACCAGATCTTATCATTCGTACATAACCCATAGCGTTGCCTTTAAAAACAAGACAAAACAAGGAAGCAATTTATAATTACTTAAATACACACACACTTGTTACATCTCCTATAGGCTCTGAAACGTAAGTTAAAGCTGCCATGTAGCTCTAGCACAGAACTTGGCTCCAAAAGCCAAGTTATAAAAGTTAGACTTTTGGTGCAGGGTTCAGTCTACACAGAGAAATAAAACAAAAATGCATCATCAAGCAAGGTTTTGTTCACTTTTGTACAAACTCTTTCCACTAGACAAATTAAACAATTTATGTTCAGATCAGTTCTGCACATTTACAGAATCAGAGGCTGAAAATATCATTGTCACATCGTGCATCACTTAAGGATACTTCAGCTGGATATATGGCCAATTTTTTAAATACATTAAGTTAGGACTAATAGGTTTTTACTAGGAAATACACTCAACAAGGCAAAAAGTCAATTCCATAACACATAAAAGAACTGAAAATGGAACAGGAATCAATACAAGCTATAACTGCATTTTAGATTAATACATAGAAAGGCCATTTCTGTGTTATTAGATAAGAGCATGTACTTAGCATGGGCTAATAGTGAACTACCTTCCATCTGACTGGAATTAAATCTAGCTTTAGCTTGAGCCAAAAGGTCAGTTACCAGGTGATTAAGATCTCTTCCATTTAATAACATTTATAACATGTTAGATAGCATTTCATACCAATTTGACTTATGAGTTGTCTGAACTGGTCAAGATAGCTCTGGCCATCCGGGGTTATTCCAAGTTTTCTGATGCCACGGTTGAACTTATCTGCTCTTTCAAAGGGATACTAGAAAAAAAAATTAAAATTATTTGTAATAATTACCTACCCTTAGGAAAAAAACTTTTCATCACATCAATAAAATTCTATTTGTAATGTAGTTTTACACCACGTTTACAGCTTTATTTTTTTATCAATTATACACTGGCTTGTCTGTATTAGTTCACAAGAATCATTTTACTAAGTCACTTCTGTAAGTTGAGAAGTGAACTAGTTTTACTGCGAAAAAGAAAGAATTCCTAAAACAAATAAGCACTTGACATGCAAAGAAGCTGCCAGTCTATTTTACTAGATACGTTGTCTCTTTCCCATTTTTGAGACAATTTTCCAGCATGGAAAACCAGACCCCCATTCCCAAATCCTGACACAGTGGAATGAGTGCTACACGATCACATCATTTTGGATTCCATTCAAGTAAGCTTATTATTCAAAACTGAAAACTGTTATGCATGAGTTGAACAAGAATTTTAGAACCTCCAACAGACAACAACTCCACCAAATCATCCTTAAGTCACTGACAGGATGATTTTAGCCAACTCCATGTTTACATAGCAGACAGAATGAAACAAAGTCCTCCCGAATACAGACGTTGGTAACACTGCATTTTGCAGGACAAAAGCTGTCCCCTTGTCTGGGAATACATATTTAAATAATAGGAGTGTTATGGTTTAGTGCACCTTCAGTCACATGAAAGTAGCACTTCTTTTAGCAAATTACTCTTGAGCTTTCAGAAACTACTATACCTTGTGATCATTTTGATCCTTGACTTCCCTGAAGAATCTGATGTCTTTGATAAGTCTGGATTTGATATGTTCATCATACATGAACTGGCTAAAAATGTAAAACTTCTTCCTCAAGAACTGGTAAGTGAAATTTACCTATAAGGCAAAATGTAAAAAAACCAGTCAAATCAAGAAAGTTAGCAAAGTAACAAAGACATCTAACACCCTGTTTTCACCACATGCTTGAGTAACTTCTAATGCAAATTCTCCACTTACTTTAATTTCACTGTTTTAAAAGAATAAAGAAAAATGAAAAAACATTCTCCTGGAAGGTCTACTCTCTTCCAGGAAAGGCACAGGGACCAAGGGACAAGGTCAGTATTTCAGCTGATCACCTGCCTACACTGCCATTAGTTTATCTGGAATATCCTGTAACTGTCCTTTTGAAACAATACAAGCATCAAGTTGAAACTGACAGACATGATCAACTTCCTCAGTCTGTAGAATCTGCATAACCTCCTGACACAACTTTTTCACTTCCTCAAAGTTTTCTAAAATACTTTCTCATAGGGCAAAAACTTCTGCCCTACATATCTCAATACTTCCCGTGTCTTCAAAAATAACTTAGCTTACAATCAGAAGTGAATAAATCTGCATCATCAAAAAATATTGTGAGTAGCAGCATTTTTTGAGACTGTCCCCACCCTCCCACTCTAAGAAGTGGAAGAAGTCATTAAAACTTTTTTTTAGTAATTTCCACTTCTAAAATAATTACTTGAGTGTGGGTTCAATATTTCAGCAAGCTCCTTTTCTTTTATTATTTTTTTTTTTTTTTTTTTTTTTTTTCTAGTAGAACCAGGATAGAAAAAAGGAAACAGCAACAAGGTGGAACTTAAGCAGCAGACTGGAAAGCACTGACCTGAAAACACATTTATGTACCCAAACTTGAGAATCCCAATGATAAATTCCTGCTGTAGCAGACACAATGCACCTCTTTGCATGTACCTTGCAAAGAGGTAAATACCTTTGGCTAGTTAAAATGGCCACCTACACCTCAAACATCATTAAAAGCTTTGTAATAAGAATTCATTTTTCCAACAAGAGACCTGAGGTCTGTAGCTTTATTTTGCAAATTTAAAAGCTGGTATTTCTTAAGCATAGCAATTACAAGAAGAACTTGAAAAATTAACATTGCATTTTTTCAAGATATCCTATAACTGCAGGAAAAGTAGCTGTCTGCTAAGTGTCAATAAGGAGAAAATCAGGGCATACTGTCCAGAAGAGTCCAACCAGAACATCTATCTCTCCTCTGATGTGGTTTTAAGTCTCTTCCTTAACATTTATGTAAATGGAAGTGATAACACTCTCAAAAGATTGTAATATTGATTTGTGCCACATCCAAGAACTGATTTATTAATTTACACAGAACATTATTACTGCAGTATTAAAACTGCAAAACCAAATAAACTATTAGGAGATGCAAAGAGGAGGATTTTGTGCACAATCACAAACAAATAATCCAACAGCAGCAGTGCCAAAGATACTCACTGTTGTGTTCATGATTCCTGTTCCATGAGTTCGAATTGAATTAGCGATGTGTCGGATATTGATGGTGTTCAAGTGTTTGTTATTACTTGTTCTTTCAATGAAGATCTGGGAGGCAGGGAGGGTAAAATAAAGTTAATTACCCAAAACTGGTTCTGTGATAAATTATTGATCTAAATAGCCTACATCCTATTTCTGAAAGCAGCTGATAACTGATGATGAAGGAAAGAACCAAGAAAATACAGCATGGATACAATGAATTTTATCTGGTAAATTCTTCTGATTTCTACACAGCTGTGATTCAACAATTCTAAGGCAGATGTTGCACTAAAGACTCCCATATTTGAGATTATATCCTGTGGGAGTGTGTGCTGGGCTTTGCACCACTATTAGTGGTTTGCCATCAGTCTTGTCTGTTTCTGTTTGGAGCCAGGATTATTAGAAAGGCGACTGAGACAGTTTCTCGTATTCGGACTTGGATGTTTATTGTATCTAATCAGAGATTTATAGAAAGTAAAACAGTACCTCTAGCTTTTTGCTAGAAGGAGGAAAAATGGCTACAGCTGAGTCTGCTTTAAGGCCTTTTAAAGCTAAACACACCAATAAAAGTTTTATACTTAAATTATTTATACTTTTGACTCAATATGCTACATAACATTCTCCAAGACCAAGCCACAGCATCCCCCAAGATGTTTTTCTAGAGCACTAATACTATTTTATAGCTTCTCACTATGCATGTTCAGCCTGGGCTTTTCTTACACGTACTCCACTCTGCATTTTGTGAGCCAGGAAGAGTGTGGAATATACCTTACCTGATTATTCAGATTGTAGAGGTAGCGGGATACAAAAACATGGATATTTCTCATGATTTCCAAAACATCCAGACCCTGAAACAGTATTATATATGGAGAATTACTATTATAAAACTTCTCAGGAACTACTGACACACCTAACTGCTAAAGTGCAGAAATAACTGTTTCTGCAGTTACTTGCAGGTATTTTAGATAGCAGTGTTTTTCTTTGCAAAATGAAGAACCTCTTGCTCAGCCCATGTTTTAGCATTTGCATTCCTGCCTGTTTTTTCCCAGGTTCGCCGGAAAGTAAGGAATCCTCCAGCCTATTCCACAAGGCACAATTAAACAATAAAAAAAATTAAAATTGAGATTTATCTGTTTTCAGATTCTAAAATATAGAATCTTGCCTTAGAGATTCCTACAGACATATAGATGTCTGCAGAGAAATAAGCAACTAGCTAATTTTCAATATTCTTAACCCAACCTGTATAAAAGACTGAGGTTTGCTATTTACAATATAAATTTTACAATTGTTTACACTTTTCCCCCTAAGGAGTCCCTTAATTATCATTGGGCCTAGAGATGATGCTATTTAATTTATATACCTCATTTCCAGTTATGCCAGGGATTTTATCACATTTATGAGGCTGGGGGGGTTATGAAGTACAGGGTGTCTTTGTTTGGAAGTAAAGCTCATATCAGAATGTTAATGTTATGAATCCAATCTTGTGAAATTGTTTAATTCTTTGTAACAATGTGCTAATCAAGTATGGCCAACAGGAAATCAAAGCTGGAAACAGAAACTGATCTACAGCACTTTCATACCAAAAAAACAGCTGAAGTTCTTAGTTATATGCTCTGTTTCAACTTAGGAAGACACAGTCATCATGAACACTAGAAAAGAAGTGTGTGTATTTCTAAGAGCTTTCACCAATGTGTTAACCCAAATGAAGGAATGAAGCAAACTGCCAAAAATATCCAAGACATTAAAACTCTTGAAGGAAAGCCTTAAGAACTATGCAATCTGTAGACCCTTCACCATTAACTTGATGACACTGCAACTTCATTCTGAATGTCACAATGTTCAGCAGCTTTTAGGAAGCTCTAAGTCACAGTTCTAGAATCTAATTCACAGGTGTCCCAAAGCCCACTGTGTCCAGCCTGTGAAATACTTTCTCCTGATGATCACTAAGCAGAATCTGTTGAAAAGCCAGCAATAAACCAGGGAACAAGACCCACCACGCAAAGGTCATTCCAGACTTGTAACAGCTGTCTGGATCTACTGCTTGCCAAATTGCTGACACTGAATTTTCAAGAAAACATTCTCTGAATTTGCATACTCAATTCATTTTGTTGAAAAAATGAACAATACAAGTCCAACATGATATTAACTGATATCAGTGTGATCTCCAAAGGGCGTTAAAGATCCTGCCTCACAATTCAACCAGAAATTAAATGTCACTTTTTCCAAACAGTTCTCTGTTCTTGGATACTTTCATTTCAGTGACTCAGTCCTATGACAGTGGAATGGTTTAAATTCTATTCCTGTTCTGTGGGCACTGTACCTGCTCCAGAGTCTGGCTGGGAAGGTGAGCCTCAGTCATACTTAAACCATAGCGCTGGGTTGCCAGGTTTCTCATCTCACTGTAGGTGGCCCAGTCGTGAAGAGCTACGGTTGTTAAGTTGTAGAAGGTCTTGTCCAAATAATGAGTTACATAAGCTGTGAACAAAGAGGATGAACTAAAATAATGCTACCTATTTAACTAGGAAAGTGTGGAAAGAAGTGAAAAGATATACAGAGCCAAAGTGGAAGAGATGAAAATAACAGAATCAAGCAAGTGTGTAACTCCTCACCTTTTATGTCAATGAACCGATTGAAAAAACGTATTGGGTTCAGAAAGAAGAAGTGAGCCAGGTCCTTCATGCCAACTCTGAAGGGGTTTCTGTCATCCAGCTTCAGGTGTGTGTGAACTGATAAGCGCAGGTCCTTTTCGATCTCTTTACACAATTTGTCCAGCAAGTGCTATTCAAAAAAGTTAAAAAAAAAAAAAAAAAAAAAA